TTAATGGGGGGGGGGCAGGGGGGGAGGTTAGTCACATGATTTTTGAAAAAAAAACATGTTTTCATTTATCAATAAGGGGTTAGGGGTCTAGGGTTCCAAATTATGTTGTATTGACTCAAGAAAGAAAAGATCAGGTTTCATTAACCCTGAACTTCCCATTTTTCTCTCACTCGAGCTCTTCACTTTGGTACTGAATTAAAGCTGTGCGATTACTTTCCCATAAAATGCACAATGTATCTTTGTGGGAGAATGCTTCTCCGTGAAAATAAAACAAGCGAACATTTAAAGGAACTCCCCACCCCCGACCCGAGAAAAATAAATTCAGTCTACCCTGGCGGAACCTATTTGGATCCAGAGGGATTGACCCTGGAGAGAGAGAAACCAGTGTCTAATATTCAGCACCGAGTTCTGGACAGCGACACAAGCTGCACAGTTGCCGGAGCTGCTCTGGCTTCTGAGCGCCAAAGAAATCTCTTCTGTAGCTGTCCAGTTCCAAGTTGTTTCCTTTTGACCGGTGCCTTTCCCTTCGTTAGAATAGCAACTAGGGAATTGGCCACAGGAGGGAGTGTGGTTTTGCTCGTGATCGAGACTTTTGCATCTTAGTTTGTGAAACGGGTTGGACTCAGCCCCCCAAAGTAAAATTGCAGTGAGACAAAAGTGAACAAGTGTACCGAGACCGAGATTAAAAAGAAAAATCCTTTAAAAATACTCCCAGCCGCTGGGGGGCGCAATCTAGCCTGTGGAAAGAAAAGGAAGCAGATTGGAAAGAAAACAAAGATATATGGAGAAAGAAAGCAAAAGATGCTTTTTACAAGAAGCAAAAGAGACAAGACTTGGTGGAAGATAAGGCTCAGAAGTGCTAACTCTTGATTTCCTCTGGGCTTGCAGAAATGTAGACTAGACTGATAATTTCATTAAACGTAAAACATCCTTTATCAAAACAAAGGCCTAAGCTAATAAGACATGTGATGAAGCTAAATGATTTACAATGTAACTCTCATGTGAGATGTGAGGGCCACGATTAATAGCTCTGTTGTCTGCTCTGTAAATTCACGTATGAATATTGATGGCTGGGTGAGCTGTCTTCCTTTTTTTATTCTTTAATTTTTTTTAATTTATTCTAATCAGTTATACATGACAGTGGAATGCTCTTCGATTCATTGTACACAAATAGAGCACAATCTTTCACTAGCTCTCTAGAGTGTTTCATTCTATCTACAGATAGATGCTAGCAAAGGCAAGGGAAACCTGTGGCACATGTTTGGTAATGGTAGATATGGTCAGAGCAGGAACATGCTTGTCTCTTTCTTATTATCATTCAAGTAAATCAGCTTGGAACAGTGTTAGCAATTAGGTCAGTGTCTCATTTATCTTAAATGGAATACCATACAGGCTTGGAATAAACATGTAATTGACATATTTAATAAGGTAAATGAAATTCTCCCTTTCCACAAATACATATCCATATTTATACTGAAATTGCCTGAATTTTATCCAAAGGATCTTATTTCAGACAACTTCTGGGATGCAAAAGAAATGAATTTCTGCCAAGGTATGGGTATAAATATATTTAGAATCCACATTAAAGTTTCCATATCAATGGCTAGTTTTATCCTGCTTTTTGGATTCAGGCCCACATATATCATGTTTTACATGGATTGGAAAAGCCACTGATAACTCTTAAGTTGAGATTAATAGCATTCCTTTGATCTGATTAATTTATATACGAACCAGGGTATCAGAAACTAAAAAGGCCTATGTTTCTATTATGAATTATTAAATGTCATGCTTTTCAGGACTTCTCCCAACTGCCCAATGACAGTTAATAATTTATTAGGTTTTCTTGGGAGTAACAAGAACAAGGCTAGTATACGCAGGAGGTAAGAATACATTCCTATAGATTGCCAGATTTTGTTAGTCTTAGAAAACAAATGGTTTATACCTTTGTTGATGTGGAATAAAATATACCCTTTCATGTACACTAGACAATGCACTTAATGGTTTGTTGCAGAGTATATATGTAAACATCCAGGTCAAGGAAAATAACATTTAGAACCTTGAATAATAATATTTTAAGACTTTCAAGAGACACTGAAGAAGGGGCAAGAAGCCCGGTGTCAATGTGCTCCTATAGTTTCAGCTACTTGGGAGTCTGAGACAGGAGGATCACTTGAGCTCAAGAGTTAGAGGCCAGCCTGGGTAGCATAGTGAGACCCTGTTTCAAATAAGGAAAAAAGAAAGGGTGAAGAAGTAACTTTAGTTTAACATTTTCTAATTGTCATGTAGACAATTGTTTGCTGAGGGTAATAGCAATTGTACATGAAGTTGAATGTGTAATCAATTAGTCTAAAATTAAACTAGAAGCTATTTTGTAACAGAGTATATTTATAGAGGAAAAATTACTTATAATGGTGTTTCCCAACACAGACTATAATGATATTTGTATGACATACTTAAATAAATTGGAGGAAATTTGGGGACTTGATGAAGACTTTTTTTATATTACATAATTACAAGAAAGTAAAATACACCATTTTGGGCAATATATTAAAATTGAATATAGATGACTTTGAGAAATATGAATATACTTCCATCAATATAACTTTGTATATCAGGTTTAATGCCTGAAAAGTATTTAATGTCATTTCTAATCAAAGCATTTTAAAGATGAATGTTCTTTTTAAAAAAATGTTTTAAGTACTGGGGATTGAACCTAAGGGTATTCTACCACTTAACTACCTCTAGCCCCTTTTAAAATTTTTATTTTATTTTATTTTGTGCCAAGTTGCTCTGGCTGGACTTGAATTTTCAATCCTCCTGTCTTGGCTTCCCAACTAGCTGGGATTACAGGCATGTACCACTACATTCAGTTATCTTTTCAAATTTTTGATAGCACTGTCACTGAAACTTCTTTGCATAATAAAAAATGTTATTAAAACACTCTATGACCATTCAACAACTTGCAATTTTGATTATTCGATTTTAAATAATATAATAGTGCTTCCTTTAATTTCCTTGTCAAAATCACCATTATAATTTCACCTGGTGATGCATATAGATATAGAATCTATTCAAATTTTATATGTCAAGTATCACAAAATAAAAATGAAATTCCAAATTGGAAAATACACATGAATTTAAGAGAAGTTACCAAGGACCAGCTTTAGAATAAAAGTATTTAGTATATGGGAAGACTAATATTAGGGACACATGTAAAGATACACTTGACAGGAATACCTGACTTGCTTCTTCATTATTTCTTCTCCCATGACCAAATTTTGCTGGGCATGTTATACTAATTACACACACTTAAAATATAAATTCCTCCAGCAGATTCATAGACCCTTTTCATGTCATGAAAATGGACTTACTTGTAGCAGGTTGCTGAAGTAGATATCAATGTCATAGCTAGTTTGCTTAACTGAATTCTAGGAGCTCAGCATCAAGCTGCTAGCCTGGGTTTCACTAGGAATAAGAAGACCAAATATCTTGAGAGACATAATTAACTGTTAGGAAGCACTGAGCATAGAAAGAGAGGTAAGAGAATAACAAAATAAAGCCTGTACTTCAAAAGTTTCTGAAGTGAATGAAGATTTTGCTGAATAAAATAGATGAACACTTAAAATATTGAATTTAATTTAGAATTATTAAACTTGAAACAATGGATGCTATTAATTCCAATTGCTGAAAATGGTTTTTAGTCAAGTGTGGTAACTCATCCCTGTAATCCCAGGTACCCAGGAGGCTAAGGCAGGAGGATTGCAAATTTGAGGCTAGCCTCAGCAACTTAGTAGGGACCCTGTCTCAAAATTAAAAATTAAAAGGGCTGGGGATGTAGGTCCCTGCTAAAGCATCCCTTGGTTCAATTCCTAGTACTGAAAAAAAAATATTTTAATGAAAATGGATAATTAAACATAATTGTATACAAGTATTTAGTAACAAATTTTCCTTATTTAGAGGAGATTCTTTAAAAATATGCATTTATCAAGGGAATCTTAGAATATTCCTGCTTGTTTTTCCAGGAAATGCTTATGCTTTTGGTTTGCACAAATTTGGTTTGCACTCTCACACTGTCAGTTTCCCAAGGAATGTCTCATATATAACTACTTTCTTTTCTCCTGAGGTATACTTTTCTATGAGGATTATAAATGCTTAGTGTTGAAAAAATGACCCGAATGTTATCTAGTTCCTTACTTTACAACATGTGGTCCACATGCCAGCACTACAGGCACCACTAGGGAGCTTATTAGAAATACAGGCCATCAACTCCCACCCAGAACTACTGATTCAGAACTTAATGAGTCTTTGGTGAATCATTCCACATGAAGTTTGAGATCTAGTTAACAAGTTAACACCCCTTATATGCATGACACTCCTCAGAAGTATTCCTAGCAAGTTGTCAGGTAATCATGGTCTCCTAAAGCAACTTCTTTGGTTTAGAGTGGCACAATGGTTACAAAGTCCATCCTTGCAATGACATAAATCTTCCCTCATTACCTACTTCCAGTCAAGCATGCTAATTCTCCCTATAGAAACACTCTGACAAGTCTCTTTTCTACATGATAGCTCTAGCTCTTCATATTTTGAAGACAGATTATTATGTTCTGTTAAATTTTTTTCTACTCTAGTTAAATACCCCTCATATTTTAAAAACTTTTGTATTGTGGTTACTCATGTCTGAATAGGATCTTTTAAACATAATTTTTAATATAGGTACTGAAGCTGAAGTGTGAACTGTATAGTTGGCTACAGTTATGCAAATTTGAGCAGGAATTTTGTCTCCTTTAGGAAATTTTCTTTCTATCATTGCCTAAAATAGAATTGGTTTTATTTTTTTCTTACTTAACAAATATTCTACTAATATCTGTTATTATTCACATGTGCTTGATATTAAGTCACTTCCAACCTGATTTGTATAGTTTTTACTTTTTCTATATGTATATGGGGAGAGAGAGAGCTCAGAGTTTGAAAGTCGTTATTTTTTTCCCACTGAATTTCAGGTTCTGAAGATATTTGAAATTTTGATGTTATCATCCAATGATTTGCTCCTAGCTTCAAGTTATATATGTAAGTATCAGTAAACATTAGTGTCTTCATTCACAGTAGTAATAAGATTCAGAAAGAAAAGAAGGCTGACCCATCAAAAAATCTGCTACAAGTTAAAATTACTAATTGCTTTACCAGATAGCAGAAACATCTTGTCACATGAAATGAAGTGTTCAGATAGATAATGGCCGTTTTATATATAAAGAACTAGCTTTGGCTTGCATTATCATAATTTGTCCTATGTCATGCTAGGTGTCATTGATCAACATTTTTTTTGAGTACACAAAACAAATTTTTACTTGTTCTGAATTTTATGATCATCTACTGATGGGAACTCACTTCCCTTTTATTCTTGGAACTGAGAATTTTTAACCACTTATGGCCTTTAAGCACTGATCTTTATTCTTCTAACATTCTGCAGTGATTTCTGATGCTATTTCAGATGTCTCAGAATAAATTTACTCTTATATTGAACTTACCACATACGTGAAATCAGGAGATTGCTTTTCAGTTTTACTGAATGTATTTCTTGCTTGTCATATCTGGGATCAGGATGGTAACACTCCTTTAACCATTAATAGAGATAATCATTGAAGGTCTATTTTTCCCTTCTTGTTTATATGTATCTCAATGCAGTCTTTCAAGCTTATCATTGATTAAACAATACACAGATTAATCCAGAATTCACTAGAAGGAGGCGAGAAGCAAAGTTGAAGTTATGTTCAGTTCACTATGTATCTCTCAGTGGATAAATACTTGCTAGTAAGAAACTTTGAGGTGACCAAACCTTCAGCTGGTGCTGGGGTGGGGAAAAAAAATCTGAAACCAATTCACATCCTAAGACTGACAACTCCATTCTCAGCTGCCTGTATCTGTTCTTCTCTCCTTGAACCCTTTGATCTTCATTGTGGAAAGGGAAAACAGAAGTGTTACAGCAGAATTAGTACATAGCACATTACCTTAAAAATTCTAAATTAGGGCTGGGTCTGTAGCTCAGTGGTAGAGCACCTGCCTTGCATGTGTGAGGTACTGGGTTTCAGCCTCAGCACCACAGAAAAATAAATAAATAAAAATATTGTGACCATCTGCAACTAAAAATGTATTTCAAAAAACTCTAAATTAGTTTCTAATATTTAAATTCAGGAGATGTTTCATAAAAAATTGGCTCCTCTTTAAAACTGGAAAGTGCAGGTCTGAGAACAGTGGTCCCCACTATTCTTGTATACTAAGACAAAGTGTCAAATTCTGCAATTGTGTTTATTCCATCTCTAATTTCCTCCCCCATAGTGAAGAACAAGAATGCTTAACCCTATCAAAAGTAGAGGGAAAAATAGTAGAGAGAATTAAGTGTATGAACAGAATTTTCTCTTTTTTTATATTTATTTTTTAGTTTTTTTAAAGATGGACACAGTATCTTTATTTTATTTTTTATGTGGTGTTGAGGATCGAACCCAGCGCCCAGTGTATGCTAGGCGAGCACACTACCACTTGAGCCATATCCCCAGCCCAGATGGAATTTTCTCTTATGTCAGACTTACCCATTAAATTATGGTGTCTGCCTGTCTCCTGGGAATGCTGTGATTGTGTCTTCAACCCTTCCCTAGGGCCTCCTGTAGACTCTACAATGTTCAAATCTGGCCCTGTGTTTCCATGGCTCTCTACTCAGAGGCAGAAAGTGAAGGATAGGCCAGTAGGTACCCTATCTCAAGCAAATAATGTGTATTGTCAATTATGAGTTGTTATATCAAACTGCAAAAACTTATTCCAAGCTTCTTTACTTTAGTTTCTTCATTTATAAAATGGAGCATAAAGGTGACTTACCTGACGGAGTTATTATATATAACTTGTACTTTCTAGTACAAGTCAATGAGAGTTATTTTTACTGAGTTGGGTGGGGAAGAAGCTCTCTCCTTACATCACAGTTTGTTATGCCAAGTGTTTTCAAGTCCTGGAGTCTGGAGGAGGTTGTGTGTTTGTGGAGGCAGGTTGACTGGGGAAATGATTTCAAAGCCTAAAGCTGTTGAGCTGTGACACACAACACTCATATTTCTCTCCTCTTTTCCTACCTACTAATTTTCTGTGTGTTCCCCTTCATCTTATGTGTGTGTGTGTGTGTGTGTGTGTGTGTGTGTGTGTGTGGACTCACATGTGCTGGGCAAGCACTCTACCACTGAGCTACATCTCCAGCCCCTCCTCTTCGACTTTTCTTTCTCTCATAGTCCTGTAGTATAATCTTAACTGATTTTCCCATAAGCCTGAATAGAGAGGGAGGACAGATTTATTAACTCCTGTTCACTGAATTGTTGAGTATGAAGTGATTGACTCATGGCTCCTGCAGCTGGCTTCACACGTCTGACTAGGTACCATACCTTTCCTCTTTCAGTTCTTGGCATTTTATTTCAAGATGGAGAATAATCAGTGATCAGTTAAGGGTACTGATAAAACCTAGAGGGTTGCTATTTCTTAACATGTTCTCCAAAAGTGATACCTTACAATAAAGTACTATTTTGACTTGATGTTGTTAAATATGGGTTCAACATTCAACATCAGCAGTGGTCAAATCATAAGGCACATAGAGAAAATAGTCAAAGGGGGATCTTTTAAACTGTGTTTATCTTTTCACCTTGCTTTCTTGCTATTGTAACCAGCCCAACCTGTGATTCTATCTGTGTGACTGGATAGTAACACAATGATTTAGTTTCCTTCCTAACTTCATGTGGGTAAGTTTGGATCCAGCCTACATGAATGATGATCAAGGGAGTATAGGTAAGTAAGCTAAGGAGGCAAGGACACCCATGTTTTCATAGTTAATCTAACAGAGCTAAAACCAGAGCTCAGGTCTGCAGTGCTCCCACCTTCCATTTACTGAATTAGTTTGAAGTTTAATATTTTGAGCAGTTGAGTATCAAGTCCCCTCGATCTCTTACTAGCGTAGTTACCTGGGACAGCTCTTGAAGCTTCAGTTTTCTCCTCTGTGAACAAAGGAAATAACATTGCCTGTTATTTATGAGAACTGAATGTGTCTAAATCATACAAATCCCTTCAAACAGGGCTCAGTGCATGGTCAGGGCTCAATAAAGTTTAGCTGTATGACTATTAGACTATCTTCTCTTGTTATTTTCATGGCTTTGCATCAAAGAGAACTGTCCATGTCTTCAAATTAATTCTAGGAGCACCATTCCCTAGGTTTATCTTACTTTAAAATATTACTATCTTTTGTTGTTTTTGTAAACTTGGCATTATTGCCCCAAATATTGTAGGGCAATACTTTTCAAATGGTTTGTTACACATAACATGTACCTGGGGTGCTTACTTAAAATACATATTCCTAAGAACTAACCCCTTTACATTCTGAGATGGTGCATGACCCAAGAATCTACGAACCTCAACAAATACCTTTCAAGGCTATGAGAAACAGTCTGAGAGGCCCTCAACTAACATTTGCTTCTACCCTTACTGCTTCTCTTCCTCTTCCAATTCCACTTCATGATCTGCTCCTTCTTCTTCTCTTCTTCCATTAAGTTTCTTTTTTAAAATCATCATCATTGTCTTCATCTTCTCTAACTTCTGCTCATTTCTTTCCTCCTCCTCCTCCTCTTCCTCATCTTCCTCCTCCTCCTCCTCCTCTTCCTCC